GGCTGCTCAGTTCGGGCCAGGACTTGAACTGCTGTTGCTCAGAGCTCTCTAGAGCCTTCTTTCTTCTTCCGTTTCAATTGCTGAGACCACACACACCCTGGTGGTCAGCACTGGAGGGTGAAGAAGCAAATGGTGCGCTTTAATTCTCTACCACTCTGCAAAGCATCATAGTGAACTAGCCAGGGTGTGCTAGATCAGTTCTGTTTCTGAAAATGGGAAACTAAGCCTTTCCTCACCCCTCCGAGGGAAGGAGGGAGTCAGCAAGGCAGATATCAGGTCTCCATAACAAGAAAGACAGTATAGAACTATTGACCAAGCAGAAACTTTGCTTAACAAACCTGCAAGAGTTTGAACGACTCTCAAATAAATATCTGTTAATCAGACATACCAACCATGATGTGACCATGACTTTTGTGACTTTATTTCAGAACGCCAACCGGGCACCTCTATGGCCAATTCCAGTGCCCTCCCCTCAAGTTCAGCTGGGATCAGCAAGGAACTGATTGATCTGCAGCCCCTCATCCAGTTCCCAGAGGAAGTCGCCAGCATCCTGATGGAGCAGGAACAGAATATTTACCGAAGGGTCTTGCCGGTTGACTATCTTTGCTTCTTGACCCGGAACTTGGGCCCTCCAGAATGCCAGAGGTCGCTTCCCTGCCTCAAAGCGTCCATCTCAGCATCAATTCTTACCTCCCAGAACGGAGAGCACAATGCCCTTGAAGATCTTGTGATGAGATTTAATGAGGTAAGAAGCCACTTTGAGATATTTTTATATTTGAATTGCTAGTGATTTTTAAGCGTATTTTTCCTTTTAGATTTGTCTGTTACTGCTATCTCATCTGCCTGTCTATCTTGCTACTTCCATGATGGCTGCTTTCTTTCCAGGCAATGAGATAGACAATGAGATAGACTTTGTCATCCTCTCTCCCACTTCACTCCAACCAACCCTGTAGCCTAATGGATCCTGTCTCCACCCCATATCATTACCAAGTCCACAGGCCTTCTCCTTTTGGACACCAGTCCCCACCTTTTCTCCCCTCCCTTGCCAAAATATTCTCCCAGGGCCCATTTTTAAATAACCTCCTCCTTGCTCCTAAAGGTGCTTTTAAGACCAGATGTCTCAATTTTGGTTTCTGACAACATGCCTCCCACCCCTCTAACCCACCCCTCTTCCACGATCGGGCCTCCTCCACAGACACTAACCACCAACACACTCGGGTCAGAACAGCAAGGAGGAACACGGGCCTGAGGGACACTGAATCCCCCACTCCTGCTCTCGGCATCCCATCAAGATCACCACCCCAGAAACTCCCTTCAAGGCCTCTGAGACCTTACCAGAAACCAGTTCTTACCAGAAACCAATTCGGAGTCTGGGGACACTTACGAGGAGGCACCGTTAGAGGTCTAGGGGCTCCCTGGGAGGAAAAGGACCAATGGCTGACATCCTGTGGCCCTGGAGCAAGATGAGGGACAGGAGGGAGAGGCAGGTCTCATGCAGTCAGTGCTAGGGCGGGGCATGCTGCGTACCTGACCTTGAAGAACACTTCCTCCATAGTATAACCCCAAACCCAGAGTCTTCTGTTCTACATTTTATGTCTTTTAGATTTAATTTCTTTTGCCTTCAATATTAAAACACAAAATGTTAGTCTCTGCATTTGTTGGTTGGTGACTGGCTTAACTCCACAAATATAGTAGTTTCCTACTTTAGTCATCTAGTAAACTACCTAAATGCTGAGAGGACACTCCCGCTCTGGTCCTATATGAGTATATCTCTGAGTGACAGAGGACCAATCAGCCTTTGTTACTTAAACATTTTCTAATGATAGCAGCTCACCTTGCAGCCTCCATAGCCTCCCAATCATGACCCTGATGTTGGATGTAAATGTCAGTGACCTCAGGATGGCTCAGCTAAAAAAAAAAAAAAAATGTCAGTGACCATGGTTAAGGCACACTGGATGAGGAAAGTGTTAGACGCTGAGCTCAAGCTGTTCTGGATGGTTGCATTTGCCTAGGACTGAGGATTAG